ACACACACACACACTATCACGCTCTACACCACCAGGACCCGAGAGCGTGTTCTGGCTGGGAGCGTATCCCGCTGGTGGGAGATACCTGGTTGGGGGAAAACACTGCCAGCCTACGATAGGTCGGCGCCTGATTCGCCATACGGTCACGGTCACCTCCCGAGCAAAAACATGCATTACACTTACAGAACTAATGACCCTTGTTGACGTGCCCGGAATCATTAAACAATCAATTAGTCAAAAATTGAAGTGTCTCCGTGTTACCAGCGTCAAACCGCACAGGCGTTCCGCTCAGGCCTGGAACCCGTGATCCATTTTTCTTAAGACCACTTCCCCAAAAAGGCAGATCCTGTCTCATCCTCTTTCTGTTTTCCCTTTTAGTATAAGGAGTGGTTTCCACGTTTCCCAAGATCCGCTTATAATCAGATTGGTCGATTAAAACTTATCCTCTTCTCTCCGTTTTCAACATTTGCATATCCCTTCACAGCACTGTCAACGTTGAAAACCATCGCTTAAAATGCTTTATGAAAACAAAACACGTAATCACTAATCACGAACAACTGAGCTTCTAACCTCCCTGTCTTAACATACACAATTCCGAAGATTGGACTGGTGCGAGAATGCAAACTTAACTAAAATGTGTACGCCTTCCAAAACACCAGATGAACAAAACAGGATGGAGTCGTGCTATGCCTTCTCAGATAACGACAAGTGAAAGGGGATTAGCGTGGAAGCCAGCGCGAGAGATAACTGGCCGCGGGATGCAGACGGGCGATTCCCAGCGCCCCGGTCTGCTGGTGAGGTGCCATGTGACCAGTGCGCTGGCCGCCGCAGGGACTGTCGCCACGAGTGTCTGCGTGTTGCGGGCGTCGAGCCACACAATTTGTTTGGCAGACGGCACACGTTTTGCGCAATGCGAGTTGTTTTCTGCTTCGTAACAGAGTAAAGAGGCGCGGTTCGCGGCTGAGATTGCTGTTCAAAGATCCGACGAAGCTGAATAGAAAATAGGGAGCGCGGCGGTCCGCTCAGAAAGGTTATTACTGCGATTTGTGCAATTCTGCCTCTGGCAGGAATCAGCTGTTGTCGGTTTCATCCAATCGGGAACTTGAACGTGACGTCACTAAAGTGGCATTCAAGCTCCCGATTGGATGAAATTGTCAACAGCGGATACCTGCCAGGGGCAGACTTGCGAAAATCGTAGTATAGGAAGAGGTTGTTACATATTTCGTCTTCTCGTGAAGCTGTATTGACCTTACTCGAAACACACAATTCATCATTACTACGTTATGTAAATAAAGGACGTTAATGGTTTTTAATTGCGTTTATTTTTGGAAGTGGGGGGGGGTCGATATTTTTTTTTCGGGAAGAAAAAAGGACTAGACTAGGCAGTTTGATCCGTTGCTATAGGTAGATTTTATAGTCCACGAGTTTCAAAGCACTTGTAACGATCACGTAGAAAAGGATGTCTACCAGAAGAATCGCCTTCGAAAGTGACGAGATCTTTTAAAAAATGTTTATTTGGTAGGAGTTCGTACGGAATGTTCTAAAAGCCAGAACTCACAGCATATGGGGATATCATAAAGTAAAATATACTGATTATATTTTTGAAACACCACTCCTGAAACATTACACGAATAATTCGAAGGACGATATACTTTTGTTTTCAGTAAAGGCTCAATGTGATTAAATTTGCTTCATATTCAACCATATCACTTCTCATTCCTAATAATATTCGAAACCGTAAACATATAAATACAGAATACATTTTACAAATTCTCGGTCGAAAATGGAAATCGCAAAACAGATTCTAGGGGATAAGGTGGCTGCATTAAATTTAATGCTGTTTTCCTCGGAGAATAATTTTTAGTCACACAATCACATGTGCAAAAATAATTATATCGACTCTTTTTGACCAAATATAGACGCTGTGACACTAATAAGATAGAATGCAAATTGAAACCACGCTTCCAATTACGTATTTCTCCCTCAAGCACACACTTTTTGTTGAACTTAATTTGTGATCAGGCTCAAATGAAGATTATTCATAACTTGTAGTACCTTTTTAAAATCACAAAATTTAATATTCTTGTTCATAGTCTCAAAAAATATCCACATTGAATTTTTTGTTGTTGTTAATTCATTAGAAAATGGTAAGTTCAGAGACTAGCAAATACAACGTAGTTTTCAATATCGTAAACAACCCAACTGCGTCAATCCTATGTGATCAATTACTTGTTTTTCACAAGTAGTTCAAGCAGGTTTGCAATGCAATCTATACAGTGTACTCGTATTTACATATCCACAGATATACACGATACTTTCATTTAGATCAGTCACAAAATTAATAAATTGTATTAGAAAACATAGACTCACATGGAAATAGGAAATATATCGACTCAGATTCGAAGTCCAAAGCTACTTACCTACAAGCAAGTAAATCGATGTGGCCTGTCGCTGCGTTGAACCATCTGTATCCTTGCCTCTGAATAGATTGGATTGTCCTGAAACATGAAAAGATAAAGCACATCTAAACAGGATACATTTTAGATATACAATCTACCCTTCTTTACTTTCTATAATATTAATGGATTTCAGTACAGTCTGGAATAATGACTGCTAACGTGAAAGAACTGTGCTGTTCATCATCTTATCAATTTCTAAATTATTTAGGAAACAGCAAAGATGTTGGAAGGGACTATCAGTGTACACATCACGTATCACGAGCCAAAATCAAAACGGAACAAGCAACCAGTGTGTTATTTGCATATAGAAATGTGGAGGGCTTGACGATAACGCACGAACAGCAGGTAACAAACTTCTGGAAGCAGAGGAAGTGAAGGGAGGCCGGAACTCAGGAGGGCAACACCCTTCCTTCTCGCTGCCTGCTCCCCCTCTCACTCGCCCTGTGCTGCAGGTCCCGCGAGGTGTGGGGGAAGGTTGCTGCCTTCGCAAGGGCGCCAGGCTAAAAGCTGCTCCACACATCCGGCATTTCCCGAACAAACGCTCGCCGAATCCCGAATAGTGTGAACGGGTTGCTTGCTATTCGCCGAACGCCAAACATTCAGTATTCGCCCTACGCACCGCGTGTCGGTCTTTAGGACACTTCACAGGGAGCAAACACTGGCCGAACACATCAGCTGTTCGGGATTGGGCGAGCAATAGCTTGCTGCTCGGCGAATACCGAATGTGTGGACCCTCCATACAGCGAGGGAGCAGCTCAGTGCGCAATGCTTCGAATCTAGATGGGCGAAATAGCAGCGAAAATAAGAAGAGATGTATCAAACTAGGCGCCTTTAACCTTTTAAAACTTTGAAAACCCTTTGATTTCATGTTTTTCTTGAAGGAACATGTTTAAGAATCAGATAAAATAGCTTATCAAAGCTTTTTTCCACTAAAATTCTCAAAATTATTCTTGTATCTTTATTTAATCTTAATACAAACTTCTCAATAAGGGAATTAATAGTAAAGTAGTAGTTTTATTTCGGACTCTACTTTACTTATTTTCTAGAACACATTTTCTGAATAATTAACAAAATCAACACTATTTTAAATAATAACACAAATAAAAATAAAGTGTATAACCATTTTTTTACAAATATTGTAATTTTTCACTTAAATATTTTGTTAATCTCAAATTTTAATAATACACACCACTACCCTGTTCCTACATGAAAACTTCCTTGCGCAAATGATTTCAATTTTATGTGTCATTGGGCTGAGCAAAGAGTGATCACTTCCGGAACCTCAGTCAACGTTCAGGGGTTCCGCAGGAATTCTGCGAACCCCCCGTTTAAAACCCATGTATAAAACGACGTAAACCATTACACTAAAATAGGCTGGATGCTGTAAAGATTGATTGATGGATCTGGGCATGTCAGTTGCTAAGCTTAATATTTCCATAGGTGTAGTGCAATTTATCCCGCAAAATGCTGGATAGTCAATGCAGAGGCGACCGTATTGCCGTTGGGCTCTAGCAGCCGACCGTGGCCTATTGGCATTTGCCCAGTTAGAGCAGCCACGGTCCTTGGTGGCGGAGGCGGAGGCGTTGGCGGGGGCGGGGGCTGTTGGCGGGGCAGTGGCGGAGGCGAGGCGCGTGTTTGAGGCCGGTGTTGGAGCGGTGGCGGAGCGTGGAGGCGGAGGCGGTGCGGAGGCGATGTGGAGGCGGTAGCGGACGGCGGCGGTGGCGCACGCGGAGAGCGGTGGCGCAGCGCGGTGGCGCAGGCCGGTGGCGGCCCGGTGCGCGCTGCGTTCCGGCGCGGTGCGGGCGGGCGCGCGCGGCGGTCGACAGCCTGACGGCACCTGCGCCGCCTTCGCCGCCGCCGCCGCCGGCAGGTGAGCAGCAGCTGCGGCCCGGCCAGCTGCTCCGGCCACGGCCCCGTCGCGGCCGCCTTCACCTTCGGTGCCTGGCGTTTCTTTTTCCTCCACCTCTTATTGTCGGCCTTAATCCTCTTTCTCCTCCTGACCGGGAGGTGGATTCTCGGAGGGACCACGACGCGAAAATCCCATAGACAAGTCATTAAGAGAGTGATAAAATTTGTCTTAGTTAAAAATGCAAATGTTACTTCTGCACATATTGTGCAGAGGACGTAATAATAAAATTAAGTAAATTTCCGCCAGTGATTTTGCTGATTTAATTGTTGATGTGAGATGACTTAATTATAACTGACTAATTGGTGCTTCGATAATTTTGTTTCATATATCAAAATGTATCATACATTTCTCCAGATGCACTCCCTCCTTATATGTTTCGTGTAATTCGAACTACAATAATTCATTAATAGTGACTTCCATGTAGTATATCTAATTACACATTATACACATTAGTAGAAGAATAGGAAAATTTGAAATTAAAAAAAAAACAACTTCGTACGCTTTTATTTAACTTATAGCGCAGTCACGTTCATGTAAAATGTTAAACTCCTCTTTGAGTTTCTAACTTCTAAGCTTCATCTTTCCTCCCACTTTCTCCGACTAGGTACACCTTATAATTTGAGGTATTAATTCTTTTCGCTTCTCTAAGTCAAGGTTCATTTTTTTACCATTTACGGCTGTTAACGTCTCACTTTTTCCATTTCAGTATTTTTCAGCATGCAAATGTGTTATCTCTACGATCCCTTCAGCATTTTTGGATTCTTTCCAGTTTTTTCTTGTGTTGTATAGACGTTTCTTCGTCCCGTACTTTTTTTCTCGAATTCGGTTTTTCATTTTTCGTAACGATTTCTTGATTATCATTTCTGTTCTGACATCGATTGTCATGACCCTTCCACAGCATTATTTTTCTATACTTATAAAAAGATTCGAATCTGCGTGGAAGATATATTATTTCATTAATCTGAAATTAGTTAATTTACTCCCTCTACATGTATATTAGCTTTTTAACACAAGTAATACCACCAAGAGATCTAGTATTTATTTCTCAAGTTTGAGAAAACCCTTATCTCTTCACCTCAGGTCATCTCTTCAGCGCAGCTTCTTCATCAAGGAATAATTAATTATTCAGCCTCTCCCGTCTTCATTTCTCTCGCTCTGACCAGTGGCCAGCGCTGTCGCGAGGTGACTGCCGACTCCCTTCCCCCCTTCCATCACCACCGTCACTGCGAGAGTCCTGCCTCCCCTCCCCCCCACCGATCACCACCATCACCTTGCTACCCTGCATGTCGCGGTCTGGGGAGACAGCCGCATCACGGAAACGCCCGCCCGCATAATCAGCCGCGGGCACGCGCCGCGTGTTGCCGGGCGGCGCACTGTGGGTGGCAACGCGCGAACTTGGGCGGAAACAGTTGGGCAAAAGGAAAGTTTCGGGGATTTTTTTTTTTTTTTGTTATTCAAGGTCGCATCTACTACTAGGTGATTAGCGACCACTATTGCTTGTAACCGTATGGTAATTGTGAGGATGACACGATAATGATGATAGGGGTGAAAGAACGAACACAATATAACCATGCCCGATGTGGGACTCGAACCCGCGATCCTCCGGTCCGAGATCGCTACGGCACTACTGCCTTAGCGATTTCGGCCACCGGATCGGCTTTCGGAAAATGTTTTCCTAATTCTTGCAATTTCCGCCTCAACACGTATCATTCCTATTCAATGCAGCTACTTTGTCGAAGTGCAATTTGCAAATCAGACACGCATTCACCTTCATTTTTCTACTTATTTCTGGGAGCAGCAGGGATGATGCGCAGTGGATTTAATTAATTAATTAATTAATTATGATTCATAATTAATTAATTATGAATTATAATATGAATGAATAATATGAATTAATTAATTAATTAATTCATTCATTCATGTGTTCGGTTTGTTAGTTTAAGGATTCTTGAACAGCTATCAATGAGACCCCGTAGTGACGATTTCACTTTAATTTTCCTACTTCTTTCCGAGAGCAGCAACGTTAATGAGCAGTGAATATAATTAATTAATTTAATAATTAACTTATTTATTTATGTTTTTGGTTTGTTTTGGTCACTGAGACCCCTCAGTGATGATCGATTGAGTGGATGATGACAATGAAGAGAATGATAACGAAGATTTGGTGGAATGAGAGGCAGGGTAAGGGGGAAACAGCAAATCTGCATAAAACTGGCTTTGTTCACCACACATTTTACTTGGGTTGACCGCGTCGTCCCCCCATCCCAGCCCTAGCCATTACGCCGTGATCCCCCCCTTCTCCCGGAAGTGTCTCCCGGAAACTCAAATGCGAGTATGTTTCGAGTTTGCATAAGCAGTTTTTAGTACTGGCACTATGTTACTACAGTACCAGTGTATAAGCGACTCTAACAATTCAGCGCGCTGTTGCCATATATTACCATGCACATGGTACCACCTACATCGCAGATAATGAAATATCAAAACATTAACACTTACTGACAGGCTATGACATGTCTTGACATTATTCTCATTACTTTCGCTAAAGGCGAACCTTATCGCCTCCACGACGTCGTGTGAGTAAAATTAGTGGCAACGCTCATTCCTGGCTAAAAGAAAGTAAACAAATTCTCGCAAGCTGGTTGCTTCAGAGCAGGCCACATGATGTATCCCAGGACGTGGCGAGAGAACTGTCAGAGTCGCCTATACGCTGCCGGTTCTATACATTTTATTTTAATTTTCAATTCTTTGTAGAATTTAATTATACATGGATAAGAAATAAGTAAGTAACCAGTTCCTCATCAGAAGCACGGAATTTCAACTCGATTGCACCAACCGGTGGACCGAACAAGAGTTATCTATGACCTTGTAATCTATGAATTTCTATAAACATCAATTTTAAACGAAAATAGTACTATATTGCAACTGTAAGTGGATAATACGTTGCACGATATACGAGTTGTAATTCGTATTAAATTATTCTATATTCGTACTCTTTTCATAATTACAACATTAATGTGAATGAGGTGAATAATGTTTTATCTGTAACTTCTCCTTCAATTTTTCATTTTCCAACATCGTAATGATCACATTTTATGGTTTGAATATCCACAGTTTTCGTTGACAGTTTGTA